GCTCAAAATCAGCTGGCCTAAAGCAACATTCTCACACATATGCAACTGGGTAGCCAAATAAGAAAATTGTTTGGCCACCTGCATTGACTTGGAACAAAAAACAAAGCGAGATAGCCATAAGGTTAGAAATGCCTCATGCTATTCATCAGTTACAGGACCAGAGGTTTGAGCATGATGGTCGATAAAATTATTATATGTTGGCTTTCCAGCTTCACCCACATCGAACCTTAGTGGCACAGGTTCAACATCTCTATAGTTGAAAATCGTGCCAGATGGTTGCATCCTTGTGATGGCAGCAACGTCGAACAGGGTAGGAGTGATCATACCACATTTAGTATGAAAGGTGTTGGCCGATCCCTCCCAAAAATGAATGGAAGCTAGGAGCATGACACTAGAATAAGTTTGACCACATCGGGAAAGTTCTAGCAGGGTATAAATACCCATCCTTTTCCATTAGTCTCCTTTGGCAATTTCTAAATGTGTCATCCAAGCACGAAATTTAGGGCAACACAGAGGTGGAGCGGTTCTAAAGTTCTTATCAATATATTTAAGCGATATAGGGTTTGGAGAAGAGATGATGGATCTGGTAGTAGTACTAGTAGGAAAAAATGCCTCCTTATCATCTACGTAGATTTCGAAGGGTACATCAGCAGGAAGTGGTCCTAAAAAGGCTAAGGGTTTCTCCTCAAGAGAGAAAGGGATAAGTACCTGAGATTGCCAGATTTTGGCTTTCTCCTCAGCAAATGGAGGTTCTGGCACATAAGCCTTGCCGTTGACAAGGCGCAATTGAAGAGCGAATGCTGGAGAGGAAGTTTGACTTTTAACATTCTCCATTGTAAAAGGTTTGAAGGAGGATGAAGATGAAGAACAACAATGGTGTGTAGTTTCTGGGTTTTGTTTTCTAAAAAGCAAGGGTTGAAGAAGTGAAGAAAAATAAAAGAAAAAAAGAAGAGAAATAAGGGTATTTATAGACCCTGAGGAAAGAGGAAATAATGGGAAAAATATTTTGTGATTTCCCAAGTTCAAATCACGTCAGTTTATGGGACGCGTGCCACGGGATCAACGTGAGTTAGTGGGCCAAGTTTCCCACTAAAAGTGCAATGATGGCAAACAATTAATGTCATATGTCTCAAAACTGAAAAGCGTGATACGCTACCATGATAACGTGACGTCACGGAAAAGACAGAACGGTAATGTTCATTTTTAGAGAAATGGAAACGATTTTGTTGAATGGTGAAACCGACGCTTCAGAGATGCCATTATCTCATATTAGTCGAAATTTGAAAATGGCATCTCTGGGGGGAATTTTGTTACCTTGGAAAATCTTAAGGTATTCAAGTACATGTGGTAAATGAAGATATTCTCATAAGCTAAGAGTCATCCTCCAAAATAAGGGTCTTTCTGGGAAACGGGGGCCAGTGTTTGAAAAGCTGGTTTTATTAAGTTAGAGTTAATGCTTGAAAGGAGTCACACTGAAACTGTCGAAATCAAAATACGTTGACTAGGAAGAAATAAAAGAACATATTGGTTTAGTCGAACAAAGGGTAAAAGACAAGAACCTGGTCGAAAATGGTTTTAGTCGACAAAAAAGTTTTTCTTGGACTTAGAGGAAGTGTGGTTATTCTTTTCCAGAAAGAAAGTGTCGAAGCAAGGCAGAAGCGGTTTACGTTCAAGAGGTTTATAGGAATCATGGGTGATTACCAGCAATCCACGACGTGTTCAAGCACCAAATAGGTGGAACTTCAAAATCATGAGCAGTTACTAGCAATCCACGATGTGTTTGAGCGCCAAATAGGTGGAAACATCTAGTGAAGCAGTTACCTCAAGATGTTAATATTAGCTGTAGATTTTATCTAGATAGTTACATTGTAAACACTATAAATAGGCAGATTTAGTATAGTTTGCGGGTGTTCACTTGTACTCTCAAATCACTTGTCAAACTTTGTCATTCCGAGCGTCAGGAAATCAAGAGTGAAGAGTGCTTGATGTACGTGAATCACCATTTTTATTTCAATGAAAATCCTTTATCTTTCAATTATATCTTTTGAGTACTTTATTTGTTTTCTCTTTACTGTCGAGCAAGATCTATACGTTATCTTCTATTTCACATAAACAATTCGACATTATCTATTGGTCACGAGTCACGAGTCAATTAGTTTAGTGAGTCTCGCTTTTGTATGAATATCTTCTGTCGGTCACGAGTCACCCGTCAGTCGATTAAATCATAGTGTGGAAAACCATTACACCCGTTTCCCCAGTCAAAAGAAAATCATTTTTCTTGACTAATATTTCGATGGAATAGGTGTGATAGTAAAAACTCTTAGCACGCGTCTTGAGATCAACTGGTCGATCTCGCAAGTTACCCTCAGTTTAGGACTCTGGGAGGACCAGTGGTTGTTTACCATTTTCCGCAGTAAACAATATTACACTTAAAAGATTCAAACTTCTAAAACACACACAGTATATTTTTCTTCTATTGTTACAGTTCTACGAATAAGGATGCAAGTCCTTATAAAGGCGCAACAACTTCTTTATGGGCTTGGGCTGAAAAAATAATATATTGAATCTCTTGAATATCTCCATGAAAGTAGGTCAAGATATAAACCATAAAGATGAGACAGATATAAAAATATTCCTCCATATTTTTCGCAAGTTATAAACCACAAAACCTGAATAAGGCGTGCTTAAAACAGGAAATAGAAAATATGGAAACACGTTCAGATCAGCATACAGATGTTAAGACATCTTCTTTGACATCATTTAAAAACAGTTGAGATGATTTACTTCAAATGTCAAGACATTAAGCAAGACATTACCAAAGCAATGTTTTACCAAAATTGCTGCCAACAAACACTTACACACATGCTCATCTTAATTCATGAGTAATGCATGACCTTGATAAGTTATGAGATAACCACATCTCTCAGGTTGGCGACATATCATTTTTGACCTATGTTGGTCTTGTTTTACCTGAGCAAGTTTCTCTTCCACAACTTATTATGTTTCTTGTTCTAGTTCCTCCATAGGTGTGTTTCCACTTTGTGACTCTTGAATTTCTTCAAACTCTACGTTCCTCTCAATGATTTATCTAGAAATAAATTCCTTCTCCAAGAATACTTTATTTCAAATGACAACCACTTTGCCCTCAGAAGTATTGTAGAAGTAATACCATCTTGTTTCTTTAGGATACCCTACAAAGAAGTATTTTTCAGATTTTGGCTCAAGCTTAGTTGAATTTTTTCGTTTCACATGAAATTTGCAACCCCAAATTTTCATGTAAACATATGTGATCTCTTACCAATCCATATCTCATATGGTGTCTTCTCAAATATTTTGAATGAACATGGTTAATTGTGTAAGTTGTTGTTAATAAAGCATGTCCCCAAAATGAGTTTGGACAAAATGGCTCATTATTAGTTAGACCATGTCTAACAAGGTTCAATTTCTTCTATTGAATACACCATTCTATTATGGTGTTCAAGGAGGAGTAAGTTGCGAAATAATTCCACACTTTTTCAGATAGACATCAAATTATTGGCTTAAACATTTACCATCTCTTTCCATTATTGACCATGAGTATGGTCTTCTCTTTTAATTTAAGGTTATGCTTAGCAGTTCTCAACACGTCTAGTAACTCTTGCAGAGTTTTTCCATGTTATTATATTGAAATTAAGGATAAGCTAACTAAATTTCTCTGGCAATGATTGTAGGATTAAATTAGTCGCAAACTCTTTTTCAATGGGAAAACCCAACCTATCAAGGTTATCCAAATACCTAATTATATTGAGTATATGAGGACCTACAATGGCTCCCTATGTTAGCTTGCCAGGGCTTTGGAAATTTCAAAACTTCTTTTGATAAATCATTTTTAAGTTTTCGATCATATCAAATGCTTCCATGTTCTCATGTTACTTTTACAATTCAGAGTTCATGGTAGCTAGCATGAAACATACAACTTTTATGGCATCATTAACATACTTCTTATAAGTATCTCTTTTAGATTTAGGATCAGAACTTGGAAACTCGTCTTTGGAAACAGGTGACTCTAAGACATACAACGTTTTCTCATGTTTGAGGACAACCCTCAAGTTTCGGTGCCAATTCATAAAATTTGTCATAGACAATTCCTTGTCAAGGATCGATAGCAAAATGTTGTTTGGAGTGTTTGTATGATATTCTACATTTCAAAAATAACGAAGATATAAGTCTCATTAAAAATATATTCAATTAGTGTTTAATCAAATATGTTTTCACTATTTTTCTCAAACCAAATAATCCTTAAAATTTGATTAGAAAAATTATGTTGAAAGTTTTTCTAGTAGATCGAGATTTATATTTCACTTTATTTTAAGTCAGTGGTAGATTGATTACATAAAACTTACAATGAAGATTATGTGAGTTTATTAGATGTTATTAACTAGTAAAGTATTTTCATTTAAGTGGATTTTCATCAATTACATATAGTAAATCATAATAATTTGTTTTAAAATAAATTTACGCACGCGCCCGAGGTTTTTAACTAAGTTATTTCTACATGGAACAATAGTCCTTTGCTTTTATTCTTAAGTCATTTGAAAAAAAATACTTATTCAAAATTGAGAAGCATTTATTAGATGTTGACAACATTCTTATTTCCACAAAACACAATATTTGTTTGACTTGATATAATATCTTAATTATAATATTTGAAATAATAAAGAATCTCTTTCTGTTTAATCAGATGTTCTGAGTTTAAATATCGCTTTAACATATGGTACTATTAATTTTTTTGATGAAGAGTTCTTCCATCAATTGTAGTCATCCTCAGCTTGAGAGATTAATCTGTATAGTTGTGCCGAGGATATCTAATTTTTACTCCAAATACATATGGTACAATGATTAACCTTTATTCCAAGGACACTAAACTTCTTTTTATGTGTTTCTTTTCTTTCTCCTCCTATCTTTTTATGTTTTTCTTTTCTTTCTCCTCCTATGAGAATTGTTGATAACTTTATTTACAATTATAGTTCATAAGTCATTCCCACTTTGACCATACGTTGTTGAGGAATATCAAATATTCTTTCGCTCTCCCTCAAGTTTTTCTTCAAAAAATTGTAAGAATAATCAATCATAAACCTCCTCCATATGCCGGCTCCTTTCCTAGCAATCACCTCATTTTCACCAATCAAGTGAACAATACCAGCCTTTGCTGCTTGTTCAATTACTTCAATCTCTTTCTCAGCTGCCTCTTGTACTTTAGCTTCACCGCCAGTAATTTCTTGAGAACAATAATATCCATTAACAATAAACTCCCTTAACCTCTCAAGCATTAGCTTCTCAAAAGGCTCTTTCTCGTTGCGGACATCAGTGTATCCATATCTAACTACGCATCGGAATACATTGAGCTCTTTAGGCTGTACTCGGCGAAAGAGAAACCTTTCTTCTCTTTGGACTTTACTTACAGGCAAAGATTTGATTGAAACAAAGACAAGGACAGAGTGAAGTGCAGGTACATTCGCAACAAAATGCTTGAAAATTGGTGGAATGCCTTGAACAAGCTCTGAGTAAAACATTCCAAGACCAGGTAATCGACTTAAACTTGTGTCACAAGCAATCTCTCTGAGTTTATCTTGAGAAACCTTTTGGTCGAGTTCGTAGTAGTATTTCTTCCGATACACGTTATTCCAAACAAACATGATGAACATTAGAAACAAGGCGAATGCAAGAGGAAGATAACCTCCTTGATTAAATTTGTATAAAACTGAGCTTAAATAAATAAGCTCCACGGAACCAATGATGAGAGCGTAGGCGATGATCAGTATTATGGGAGTGTTCCATATCATGATCATGATTAGTATGAGAAAAGCAGATGTTAGTGTCATCACAAACACCACTGCTATCCCTGCATTGCACAAACTTGATCATTTAGAATTTTCATTGTTCCAAAATACTCTATATCATATGAGAGCAAGAGAAGGAGTTACCATAGGCATTGCCGATTTCTGTTGTGTTTTTAAAACCAACAGTGATGGCAATACAAGCAATCATGAGGATGTAATTAACTTCTGGAATATAAACTTGTCCTTCATACTTTTCTGATGTATGGACAATTTGCACGCGAGGAAAACATCCCAATGATAGAGATTGTTGGATTATAGAAAATGTCCCTGAGATCATGGCTTGAGAAGCTATTATTGCTGCCAAAACAGCAACCACAAACATTGGCCAATACATTGGGCCTGCAACACAAGCTATTATTAGTCACTGATTTTAGACATGGAACGAGTAACGAGCATTTCATGATTTTAACTTCGAATTACCTGGTATGGACTTATAGAATGTGGCACTAACAAGATCGTTGTTTTTGCGAAGAAATGCAGCTTGTCCAGCGTACGCCAAAATGAGAGCAGGATAAGTAACACAACACATACTTATTTGTATAGACCGAACTGAGAAATGTCCAACATCAGCAAATAATGCTTCAGCTCCTGCACAAATGAAAAAGTTCACATCAAATCTAGATTCTAGAGTTGTTAAAACTGATTCTTATGATATGATTATGAACCTGTTGTGCAAAGGACAATGCCACCGAGAGAAATCCAAGCTTCTATTTTATTCCTGACGAAATAATCTACTATGTATTTTGGATTTAATGCTTTTATAACTGATGCATCATGCTTGATGAAGTTGTACACGCCGATCCCAGCAATGAGAGCGAACCATATACAGATTATGGGAGCGAAACTGTAACCTACTTTATCAGTTCCAAATCTCTGAACCATGAAAAGACCAATCAATATTACCACTGATATCATAACAATTTGATCTGCATATCAGAACAAAAATCATTGATTAAGAACTATCTTAATTCTAACTTGTACCTAAATCCTAAAACAAGAGTACTTACTTTCAGTTATACTGCTAGCAGCTTCCTTGATCCCTCCCACGGCGGATAATACTGTAACAAATTGAAAAACATTGTTGTAACATTAGGTGTTTTCGCAACTTTCATCAATATTCAATAGTCTTTGTGACATTACTAACCAGATATGCAAGGGGTAAGAACACCGTCACCGATAACCATGGAAGTGCCGAGCAAAGTAGCAAACAAGAGGAACAGCTTCACAAAGTTACTTTTTTCAAGCATAGATTTAAACTTTGATACTCTCTTTGCACGGTTGTTTGGCAATTTCAGCTGATAATTAGACACTTCTGCGTCCTCTGCTTGCTTATTCGGAAGAAGTCCTACTTTGGCATATCGGCATACCAGAGAATACAAAGCAAATGTCCCACCTAGCAAAATCATGTTCACGCTCAAATTACTAGTTAGTGAAAAAGCTCTAAAACTTTTACATCATCACAAATAAAAGCTACTAATATACTAACCATCGCCATTATCTGTTGCCTTTAGGACGACGAACACATACTTGAGAAAAGGAATGAGAGTGAGTGTGTAAAAGATTAAGGAGAAAACGCCCAAGATATCATCGTTGTTCTTTATACCGTCAGGGAACACGCTTGAAAGCACATACAATGGCGAGGTTCCAATGTCTCCGTAAACTATTCCTAGACTTTGAAACGCTAGTTGTAGCATTAAGGCTGTTGATTCATCCTGCTTCATCATGAATAATTAATTTCTCCATAAAAGTTGGAAGCTACCACACACATACATCTAGTTATATTATTAGTATTACTTTACCTTCGAGTCACGGCTGTGAGAGGCGATTCCAGCTTCCATTTCAAGTGAATCATTTCTTTTATATTTTTTCGAATGGTTCTTTTCTACATTGTCCATGTTCACAACTACCTCGTCTTCTAAGCCCATTTTAGTCTAGGGAGAGAAGAGAGTATCTGGTTATAATCATGAGAGAAAATTTAAAAAGGAGTCGATCTTAAGGTAACATGATGTCATTTAAAGAAGGTGCAATATGTTGTTACCTTACAAATGCGCAAGCAAATAACGAACGGAAATGAAAATAGTTTCAAATCAATAACCTGCAAAATAATTAATGATAAAAATATTTGTGGCGAAAACTTCCCTTTTAAATTGATTCGCGCGCAAGTTTCTCGGGATAGAACAAGTTCTTTCGCGATGTTTTGAAGATAACATAGTAATAATAGTAAGAAATGAAAGTATACAAAGAAATGTTAGTAACTAACAATGTGATGTAAGAAGGGTGGAAAAGAATTATATGTAAGTGAATGATTGTTTGAGAAAGAGAGGAAGTAAGTTTGATTAGTTTGTTAGAAGAGAAACATGTGGATGAATTTGTTCTGAAAAATGGGAGTGATGGTTTTCCATAAACTAAGGCAAGTCATTTGTAAAACTAGTGTAACCTTTACATGCTTTCACCGTGGAATCAAACAAATTAATAGGACTTGGTCAATTTTATTTGGAAACTAATAAGACTTGGTCAATTAATAATAATAATAATAATAATAAAAGGTAAGGATAGTATGTTCCAATGACATATGAGGTAAGGTGTAAAAAATTGTATCATCTAAGAAACAGAACAATTAGTTTTAAATAAAAGAATGTTGATTACTAAGAAAGAATGGATTGTGCAACATACCAACTAACAAATCTTTCCTCCATTTTCTCGATATAATATCATTGAAAATTTTGAATTTTATTGGTATATAAGGATAGTATGTTCAAATGTCTTGAACAATATATAAGTTTTCTGAACATCAAAATTTATCATAGTGTATGTATTGTTAACATAATATCATATCAAATACAACTCTATATGAGATTGGTATTAGACTTGGATCTCAGTTCCCTACAAAATAGATAGTATTAGACTTTTTTGTCATTGATATCTTTGACCCCTTTCAAAAGGCCTTGTCATTGTGCAGAACAAAAAAAAACATGACAAATGAAAAAACATGTCCTTCCATTAAAATTGAGGGTACATGAAAAAACAATGTTTAGCGTATTATAGGTTTAAACACATAAACAACAAAAATTTAGGGAAAATGAAATATTAATCCAAGGATTAGGGCTTTCTGTAATTGTTTCTCCGTGAAACACTCACTAGTTTCTTATTAAAGGTTACTTGTAGAATCGGCTACAATAAATTTAGACTTAGTGTTTAGAATATTTTTGGGTTGAAAAAAGGGTAAAGGGGCAAAAGGTATAGACAATTGCAAAGTAAATAAATCAAAGTTAAGGCTTGTAATTTAAAGTGAAAAGACTGTAAATTACTATGAATTTAAATATGGAAGCATTCATATATTGTTAAACTTTAACTCGTTTCTCTCTTAAATGCAGGTACTTTGAGTGTATTGTTGTTAAATGTGAAGAAAAACGGCCTCTAACACAAATACAAAAATTTGCTTAAATAGACTTTCTAAATATGTAACCGTCGGCGGTTACTAGTCCATATTTGGGCTTCGTGAAAGTTTGAATCTTCCCACATTCTTGTTGGCTTGCACATTGGTAACCGTTCCCGCCAATGTTCCTTGCTTTGTCAACCTTATACTCGTCGACAGTTTCCTCTGCTTTTTTTGTCCTTGTCGACTAGTTCGTTTGGTCGATGTCCTTCTCCTACTCGACGCATCTTATTGTATTTTACTAATTTAGGTCTCTTTAGCCAACTAAACCCCACAGCTTAAGATTTATTTCTCCTTGTCGAAAATTGTTTGTCAACAGTAACACTAATAAAAAATATCATAATACTTCACAAAATCAGGAAGAAATAAAGTTATATTTGTTGATTATGATAAATGAGAAACCATTATTGCATAAGATTACGGTGTATAAAGAATATACACTAATTTGTTGAATATCACATTACAACTTCTTGCTCCATTAAACCATAATTATAAGAATTGCAATGTAATCTAAAGACTACAAATAGAGAATACACTAATTTCATTTTTTTTTTATGATTCTCTTTTTCTTCCTATGATATTTGCACTTAGTTTTATTTACTCTTAAAGTTCATAAGTCATTCCAACTTTCACCATACGTTTGTGAGGAATATCAAATAACTTTTCACTCTGCCTCAAATTTTTCTTCAAGAAATTGTAAGCATAATCAATCAAAAGTCTTTTTCCAAAACCAGCTCCTTTACTAGCAATCACCTCATTTTCACCAATCAAATGGACAACACCAGCTCTAGATGCTTTCTCAATTGTCTCAATCTCTTTTTCAATTGCCTCTTTAACTCTTCCTTCATCACTAATTTCTTGTGATTTATCAACATTCAAATTTTCGTCTGTCTCACCATCTTGTATCATTTTCTGAGACCAATAATATTCCTTAACAATAAACTCCTTCAACCTCTCAACCATTAACTTTTCAAAAGGCTCTTTCTCATTGCGGACATCAGTGTATCCATATCTAACAACACATCGGAATACATTGAATTCTTTAGGTTGTACTCGACGAAAAAGGAACCTTTCTCCTATTGCGACTTTGCTAATAGGCAATGATTTAATGGAAACAAAGACAAGGACAGAGTTTAGTGCAGGAACATTTGCAACATAATGCTTGAAAATTGGTGGAATACCTTGAACAAGCTCAGAGTAAAACACTGCGAGACTAGGAAATCGACATAAACTTGTGTCACAAGCAACTTCTCTGAACTTTTCAGGTGAAATCTTGTGATCAAGTTCGTAAAAGTACTTTCTTCGATACACGGTATTCCAAACGAACATGATGAACATTAGAATTGCGGAAAACGCAAGAGGAAGATACCCTCCTTGGTCGAACTTGTATAAAACTGAGCTTAAATAAACAAGTTCCACCGAACCAATGATGAGAACATAGCTAATGATCAAAAGAATGTGAGTTTTCCATATCACGATCATGATTAGTGTGAGAAATGCAGATGTTAGTGTCATCACAAACACCACTGCTATCCCTGCATTGCACAAATGTAATCCATGCAGAATCAGAATCTTCATTGTTTCATAATGGATCATGTGATTGTAAGAGAATTAGGAGTTACCATAGGCATTGCCAATTTTGGTTGTGGTTTTAAAGCCAACAGTGATGGCAATACAAGCAATCATGAGGATGTAGTTAACTTCTGGGATATAAACTTGTCCTTCATACTTTGCTGATGTATGTACGATTCGCACGCGAGGAAAACATCCCAATGATAGAGATTGTTGGATTATAGAAAAAGTCCCTGAAATCATGGCTTGAGAAGCTATTATTGCTGCCAAAACAGCAACCACAAACATTGGCCAATACATAGAGGCTGCAACAAAAGCTATTATTACTCACTGATTTTAGACCTGGAAATAATAAGGACTATGTTCATGATTCTAAATTGAAATTACCTGGTATAGACTTATAGAATGTGGCACTAACAAGACCGTTGTTTTTGCGAAGAAACGAGGCTTGTCCAGCATAAGCCAAAATAAGAGCAGGATAAGTAACACAACACATACTTATCTGTATAGACCTAACTGTGAAATGTCCAACATCTGCAAATAAAGCTTCAGTTCCTGCACATATAAAAAACTTCAAATCAAATCTAGATTCTAGAGTTGTTAAATTAAAACTGGTTATTATTTGTATAAATGATATGATTATGAACCTGTTGTACAGAGGACAACGCCACCGAGAGAAATCCAAGCATGTTTTTTATTCCTGATGAAATAATCTACTATGTATTTCGGATTCAACGCTTTTATAACCGATGTATCATGCTTGATGAAATTGTACATACCAATCCCAGCAATGAGAGCGAACCATATACAGATTATGGGAGCAAAACTGTAACCTACTTTATCAGTTCCAAATCTCTGAACCATGAAAAGACCAATTAAGATTGCCACGGATATCCAAACAATTTGATCTGCATATGCACAATCTGTAATTAACAACTATTTTTACTTAAATCCCAAATCTGCAACCCTGAACCCTAAATCCTAAATTATGAACGAACAACCTACCCTCAGTTATTTTGCTAGTAGCTTCCTTAAGCCCTCCCACTGCTGATAAAACTGCAAACAATTGAAAAACATTATTTAGTATAACTGTTTAAGATTAAGAATAAATCAATATTGTGTATCAATTGTTATGAATACATATTTTACTAACCAGATATGCAAGGTGTGAGAACACCATCACCAATTACCATGGAAGTGCCAAGCAAAGTAGTAAACAACAGAAAGATCTTCATAAAGTGACTATTCTCAAGGATAGATTTAAGCTTGGATGCTCTCTTTTCACGGTTGTTTGGCAATTTCAGCTTATAATTAGACACCTCTGCATCCTCTAGTTGTTGATTCGGAATTAGTCCCACTTTCGCGTAACGGCATATCAGAGAGTACAAAGCAAACGTTCCACCTAAAAAAATTATATTCAAATTCAAACTCTCAAATACTCTTAAATCATTAATAGTAATAAACTATGAAGACACCGAGACATCTACACCAGTAATCATTTGAAATACATAAATCAAATACTAAGTACTAACCATCGCCGTTATCGGTGGCTCTTAAGACGACAAAGACGTACTTGAGAAGAGAAATAAGAGTGAGAGTGTAAAATATTAAGGAAAGGACTCCTAATATATCATCGTTGTGTTTTATACCGTTCGGGAAGACGCTTGAAAACACGTACAACGGGGAAGTTCCGATGTCTCCATAAACTATTCCGAGACTTTGAAACGCCAGTTGCAATATTATAGCCATTGATGGCCCCTGCAATAACATACAAAATCATTACTCCATGATAATTGAAGAAAACGCATGCATGCATGTATGGAGATAAGATAATTATAATAGTTACGTACTTTAGAGTGATGAACATGAGAGGTAGTGCAAGATTCAATTTCAAGAGAATCGTTTCTTCTAAACTTTTGTTGTTTCTCATCATGGATCTCTTGAAAATTCTCCATGTTCATCACAACTATTTCTTCTTCTTCATCTTTTTCTAAAGCCATTTTAGTTACTAAGAGAGTAAGTATCTTGTTAATTACTTGAGTTATGAAAATGTTGGTTTAAATAGAGAAGATTAGAAGAAGATCATGTGTTAAAATATCTCATGATGTCAGCTTAAGCGCGTTACATTGATTATATTCATAATCTCTATTGATACAAATTGATATCATAATTTATTATTGCATATATGTAGGATCAAAAATTTGTTAATTTATTATTGCAATTATATAGGATAAAAAATTTATTAATTTATTACAATATATTCATATTACTCTATAAAGTATAGTATCACGGTTTTTGTTCAAATTTGGTGTACGTATAACTTTTCATACGGAGAAAAAAAACCATTGCAACTTTACGTGTATAGAAGAAAAAGCAGCAACGATGGCATCTGATCATAAAACAAGTTGATAGATTTCTTCCTTTTGAGGGCATAATGAAAAACAATTGCATTCTTTCGGTTAACTTAGCCAAAAATGTATCAAAAGAGTCTTAGTCTCGTTTATAACACGAGAAAAAGGAACATACGACACTGTAAACCAATGAAATTTTTATTTTTAAAATACTATAATATGATTTATCATTTTAAAATATTTTGATCAGGTGTATGAAGTGTATGAGAAATACTTTAGTGTCTATGTACCGCCTTCCGTGCAATAGGGGATTAGGGTATACATAGTTTCTCTTTTTAAAAAAATTTAAAACACAAGTGTGTTGGTTAATTTTATGAGATAAGACATCATCGTAATTGTCCGTGTGGAAAACATACTTACTACCCACAATCATGAGAAAGGAGAATTTGCATCATCTCAAAGTGGAGGATATGGTTGAGATTTTAAAATCAACAATGACTCACTCAACACCCAAGTGAAAAATATATCTCTTCACTATATATTGTAGAAGTATAGTTGTTTGCATCACTACAAGGATTGACAAGAGTCTAATCTTTTGAGAAAAGTTTTGAAATAGAAAGCCGAAGTGGCAAAAATAGTTTGAAATGAGATTGATTGACTTTTAGTCTTCTCACAAAAAATGTCAAAGTATTGTTAAGTTGATTGAAGTTTATTTATGAAAGGTTTTGAAAATACATGGACTAGGTCCAAGTTTATTATGAAAGTGGTTCAAATTTCAAAACAAGAAGAGTTTTCAAAAAGGAGGATGAAGATTTTTGAAATTAAAGAAGATAGGAGGAGAATAAGAAATTATCCTAAAGCATAAGGTAAAAGTTAGGGATAAGAACCATCTAACCAACAAGAAGTCAATACTTGACATTATGAGTCAAGATAGAATTCTCATTCCTTGAATTGAAACCAAACAAGCAAAGATATTAGACCTCTTGAGAGAACCAAACTTCAAGTGTATTAAGTCTTCACAAAAAATTAGACAGAGTAACAGTTGTATACGGGTGAATTCCAAATTACAAATAAAGAATGTAATCACAATAACCTGCACACAAAATAAACAAACAACCCAATGTCTTGAGGTAAACCTCAAGAACTCCAGACAAAATATCAATTAAGGTCACAAAGTCTCCAACATAGGTCAAGGTTTCTAATCCTAAGTTCAAGAAGTCTAATACTCCATAATGCCAAGGATAGTAACCAAATAGTCCAAGTATCATTAAAGCATTTTATGGTTCATGTTGATTATTAGATGTCTTAAAAGAGAAAAAAAAAGCTCAAGTGAGCAAAATAAAAATAACAAGAATATAAATGCTCAAGTGAGCAAAATAAAAATGGCATGAAATGTAATATTTAAAGTAAATGGTACATAAAGCATAAAAATAAAAGCATAAAGTAAAACAATTTAATAATTAGTGGTTAGTTGGATGACCATCTTGAAACTTGCATTTGGAATTCATTAGAGGATTGGTAGAAACGAAGCCTCCACACAACAAGTTGCATTTGCTTTTTGTCAAGTATATCATCCATTTGGAAACCTCAAAAGTATCATTTAATGATCAACAATATTTAAGTGACCCGCGTTGACCAAAAGTATTGTAGATCCATTAGAGGATTAGTAGAACCAAAGCCTCCACACAATGAATCTCAAGGTTATTGGATCAAAGAGACCAAATTAAGATACTTGGGCTTGCAAACATAGGTTTGAGCCACAGATGATAATTTATTCGAATCGGGATAAAATTTAGCGCTATGTTAAGCAATCGTAAGTGGATTTATATAGAAGTCGCACATATTTTGAGGCCGGTAAATAGAAATCTATGCACCATTTGTTTTGAGACATGATATAGAGATCATGTCCCAATAACACTTAGTGTAATAAGAAGGGGATGAGATGAAGATGGGTGGAAAAGAATATAAACCACATTTGAATTAAAATTTAATCAAACTATTATTAAAATCATCCGTCCATTTTTGTGGAGTTAGACTCAACACCATGGATCCAATGATAATAATAAAGTTCATGATCAAAATTTTAACCCAAGATCAGCCAGAAAATAATCACGAAATAATATTGTATTTAATATACACATATTAAAAAGGGTTTAAAAATGTTTTAAAATAGAAATAAGGGATAAAAATATCAACTATGTTCAAATTAATAAAGAAATATTAAGTAAGACCATAGAAAAATTAGAAATGAACTTAAATATTTTTATAAAATTTTTGACAATTTTTTTTAAAGTCAGAAACTATTTTTAAAATTAATAGAAACGAGTAAACTAAACCAAAAATGATAAAAAATAATAAAGTCAGAAATAAAAAATAAATGAAGTCACCAATATTTGTCACAATATCATTGGATCATTCCATATTTTTTCAGAATTTAAAAATGCATAAAAGTATTTTTAAACATTTAAAAAATTCAAATAAAGTGAAAATTTATTAAAAAAATATAAAACACAAAATAAAATTGTGAAAAAATGAAAGTCAAAAATAGAAAAATCAAAAATATTTTTCATAATTTTTTCAGATTTTTTGGACTTAAAATAAATTTTCTATGATTTTTTTAAAATTTAAAACAATTAAATATAAAAAATCAGAAATAAAAAATAAAGTAAAAAAATATGCGGACCATTGGATAAGATTCAAAACGCGTTAGTAATCAAATCCAAGGGATCTGGCGCGCTGTGCATATCATGGTCATTAGTGAATAATGCACTGAATCAAATGTAAAATCAGATTTCAAAAAAAATAAGTGGCAAGCCATCATTGGTTGAGAAGGTGACACATTGGTCATCTTTAACCTCCAGCCAACGTGAACTGCAAGTCTCTCAAACTGTAAAATTAGAAGCTCAGACCTATGTCATTCACTTCGTCTCTTCAAGACGAAGACAACCACACCTTCGCGATAAATTTATATAAACTGTAGCTCAAGCAATTTGGAAGGAAAGTTTTGAAAAGGGATTTGAAATTTCATGGTCAAAACGTGTTTACAGATAAAAGCAAGTGTTGTAACTAGAACCAGGGCAATGAGAGCTTCACAATGATATCAAAGTTTTAAAGAATTAATGGAGAAATCTACCTATTGAAGTTGAGTTGCAGAGCTCTGAAACTGGACTTCTATGGATCAATATAGGTCACGATTCTTGAAGGTAATTGTATGGTTAGCTTCAGGGAAGATCAAGGAAGGTGAATTAATGGAAATATTGGATTGAAAAAGGCTTGAACACTGATTTCAAAGTTACAGAAAATTGAGTTATAGAGCAAGTTTGACAGGGTGATTCTGGCTATTTAAGCTTGAGGAAATGAATGAGGGATGACCCTCTATTTATAGGGAATCAAATGGAATGTTCAAGCGTGTGAAATGATGAAGTTTGGAGGGAAATCGTGTGAAGTTGCAAACAAGAAAAGTGTGACTTCTATATTGATCAAAACTCATCCAACACGCGTGTTTTGCTATGCTAATCACTTCTGGAAGTTCACTAAACATGGTTAGAGGTAAAAACGCGCAGAAACAAAGTGTTTAGAAGCTAAATCAAGGATTTCAAATTCTGACTTTTGAAGAAACTTCGGATCCAAGTTACCAAGTTCAAATCAATGGCATTCTCAGCTCAAGAGGTCTTAGGGCATGATTTTTGAAGCTTTAGAAAGATGAGGTTACAAGATTTGCAATGGGAAAAGAATGGAATCAAATGGATGTTTGAGCTGAAAGTTACAATGAGTCAAAGTTGGGAAAAAGAAGTTGACTTTCCATACTTCGAAATATTTCAAGTTTTTCTTCAAAAGTGACCTATAATGTTTTGCATCCAAACATGGTCTTCTACTTGGAATTTGTTCTTAACCAAAAAATATGGCATGAAATAGACCTCTTGAATGACATTTTGAAACTTGAACCATTCAAAATATCCAAAAATTGAGAGAGTTATGGATTGTTGAAGTTGGCAAAAAATCATGAAATGACCTATAATATTTTGTATCCTTAAGGCATCTTCCATCTATTTTATCACTTTGCACATAAAAGAAGGAATAAAGTTTACATCCTCAAGATCATTATGAAAAAATAGTGGGCTCAAGGTGATAAAAATTGACCAAGTTATGATCATTTGAAGTCACACATGGAAAATTGGGGGTTCATCTGGAGGACTTGTAATCTTTTTTCATCATCAAGTTTCTTCCACATGAAAACTCCTTGAAACTTTTGAAGTGATTTGTTAATAACCCTTTGAAGAGAAGGATGTCTTTGGAATCACTCGAAAATACCAAGAGATGAGCAAGATATACTTCTTTGAAATTCAAAACCCTAGCCCCTAGAACAAGAAAATGCTTTGAGGAACTTTGACAATTTTGAACAACCTTCTTGTACCAACACTTTTGCTTTGTAAATAGAAGTTGTTGAGGATGATAATGAGAACTCATAGCAACCACAACCACTTCCATATCTTGAGAATTGAGAGAAATATGCATTAGTGACCAATGGGAACAAAGCCTTGTCCAAACATGACAACTTCTCCAATCAACCCCTTGTACTTTTGAATCAATTTTGATAACTTTGAAATGTGGTGAACCAAGATAAACCTTGTCATGCCATTTCTTCCAAA